AATTCCAATTGATATTCGACCCCTTAACAATTAATGGATAACGAGACGTACTAGGACAATTATGCACGAACATATCACAGATTACATGGAACTTAACATATAGGATACTGTACAACGAATTTTAGAACAAGATTAACTATGGTGATATGTAGGTAAACAGTTTGGCTTTGTAATAAGATTGTAGATGGTGCTTGAAGATCTGTAGGGAATGGGCGGCTTTGATGTTCGGTGGTAGATTGTTCCAGAGAATGACAGTGCGTGGGAAATAGGATTGTCGGAAGAATTCTTGATTATTGGAGACTATTATGTTATAGTTGTTAGGGTCGAAGTTGCGTGTGGCATAGGGGTTAGTTGCAGGTGTAAGGTATTGGTTAAAGGTGACATTAATAAGGTTGTATTTGATTTTGTATAATAGTGTTTGTAAAATAACAAAAAGAGCAAATAAGCTATTATTCCTTCTCAGAGAGTGCAGGAAATCCTTCCTACCACCCGAGATTGGTTTATTAACATATACGTCGAAGATCCGGCCAATACTTGAATACGCCTCCCCAGTTTGGGGCGGAATCCCTAAATATCTTGAAGCAGAAATTGAACGTGTTCAACAAAGAAGCTTGAGAATCCTAGGACTTGAGAAAGATACCCTCCCTACACTAAAAGAAAGAAGGGACAAGGCAACATGCAACGAGCTGAAAAGGATCGTGGAAGTCCCAAAAAACCCATGTAATCGTTTCCTATCTGGTAATAAGAATCACACTTACGAACTGAGAAGGATCAGAGACAGCACTCCAAGACAGCTCTCAAAAACACACAGGCATAGTACGTCTTTTATCCCAAGGGCGTGTAGATTAATCAACTCATGAAATTAGATCATTGTGCATATGTATATAAAAACTTCTTAAACTTTCTAATTTTTACATTCTCATAGGTTATACATGTATTTTAGTATATATTTTTAACTTGTAAATCCATTGTATTTCTATATGCCAAAGATGGATATTTAACAATAAAATTTGAAAATTTGAAAATTTGAAACTCATTTACATGTCAAACAAATTGAAATATCTCGAGAACAAACCATAAAAACAAGAAACTGAAATATAAGTTACACTACAGCTTAAAGAGTTCTTTCATTTAAGAAACTAATAAATTTCATGTCATATGCACTTTAAAAGCAATAGATAATGAGATGAAATGCCTTTGGTAATTGTTTATTTCGTAGTGTAAGCCATCAGCTTTTCTAGGTTGTCAGCGAACCTATAAGTTCTTGCAGTGTCTTTTTTAATTTGAAACTTCACACTATCCTTGGATCCCTAGTTATGATATTGATGACGGAAAATACAGTAACATAAAACAGTTGTCAGAAGTTAACTTGGAACGAATTCAGCAAGCGAAAACTCTACGAGAATCAAAGGGTGGCTCTAACCATCACAAAAATCAGTGCGATTCTGTCCCAGAGCTAAACCAGTTCAATCCGTCGTTACACGGCGTTCATCAAGAACCGTGCTATAAACATTTTGTTCTGTCAACCATTTGGAAGATTTTCATTTCATTCAGAAAGCTCTCCCGATTCACAACCAAATGTAATGGGCTTAAAGCGTGGTGAATCCAGATCTGATTGCTCTCGTAACCTTTATCCAAAGGAATGCAATTTCTGCAAAAAATACCTGGTATAAAAGAATGGAAAGTTACATTTTCCGATCACAATAGCAACCAATATGGCTGCTGCGCAAATCAAGGAAGCGGCAGAAGCGAAAGACACCACTCTCTTTTATGAAATTAGAGATATCGATTTAATAGCAAAATAGTTCAAGTATGATGACTTCTGTTACAGAGAATTTACAAGAAAAGTAGCAAATGCGAATACTAAACAGTTCGAAGACAATGATGCGAAAGGTAATTTCGGCAAAGTAACAGATTACATACAACGAAAGTTTTATCCCAAAATCAGGCCATCTCTATATGACAGTAATACATGATTTATATGGTCTCCATACCCAAGATACCAGATATAGAAGCAAGTTAAAAAATAGGATTGTTACAAAATTTCCTGACCAATTATTATTTTTAACAATTGACGCTAAAACACCTCAATTTGTGATCAGCCGTGAAGGAATAAATAAGAATACATTATTGAAAAATCGCGAGGAAGTAATCAAACAAACGGCTGAATATCTTCGAGAAGACATACGAGAATATGCGCAAGATTCTCCTGAATTACAATGACCACCATATATCGAGGAACTTACTGCTGAAACTCGCCCGATTCCCCTCGTCAGTTAGATCATTTTTAATTCGTCTCCTGACCACAGAATAGGAAGTTATACCAGAAGCGTAACTCGAGCAAATATTTGTCCGCGTTTTTACAAGCGATTCGTCATCAATCACGCCATCCTGGCTAGTACAACCGGCACTTTTGTACCTACCAAATCCTGATAAAAACTTCCGGCTGTACTAGCCAGGATGGCGTGGCCTGACGTGAGCGAGTTAAAATTTTCGTGGACGTCAAACAATAAGGGAAACGACTAGAGTTACGCTTCTGGTATAACTTCCTATTCTGTGTCCTGACTGACGACAGACATTCGCCATCTTTGAACGCTCAACGTTTGGTAGAATCGTATGCTGCTGATCTTGTTCATTGAGTTACAAGTGGAAAAGCTTTGACCGCGAAACATTTTTTATTAGGTCTTGGTTTACACAGCATTACAGGGCAAAAGAAACGAATTAAACTACTCAACCGGTTAGGACACTCAATTGACTACAATATGGTATGTGAGATTGAAACGGCTCATGCACAAGCCAATCAAAAGATCTCTGAAACACATGGTACATTGTCTTTAAGTCCAGCAACTGAAGAACATGCGGTGTTAACGTTTTTTTGGGTGGACAACTTCGATATGAATCTTGAGACACAAACTGGTCATGGCGCAATAAATTCAACACACATGATTGCATTCCAAGAAGAGTCACAAATCACGATGGAAAGAAGTACATCGAAGGTTAAATTCGCAAGAACAGGAAAACGCTCGATTGAACAAAGTGATATGGAGGGTGAAGAAATGCAAGTTTATCCAAAGAAAGAGCCTCCCAGTTTTGTTAATTATTCAGCTGATGAAATAGTGAAAATCCAGAGACTGCATGTCTGCGGAACGTTTGCTGACGTGGATGATACTTCGACTGATTAATTTTGGCGATCAAAACGTAACATCTTACTTTGCTTGGGAAATGCAAAACCGAATAGCTGGGGAAAACAAAACAGTTAATAAGACTTTGACAACATACTTGCCACCAATCAACGCTAAAGTCACAGAATTCAGTACCATCAACCAGTACCTTACGTACATGTAGAAGCTAGCAAATGAAGTAAACATGCCTTACGTCAACGTATGTTTGGATGTCGGTGCTGCAATGAATGCCTACAAGTTCATCTGGAATTTTCCGTTGAAATTTAACAATGTTGTCATCCATTTGGGAGATTTATATTTCATTAAAAATAATTTTGGTGTCATTGGTGGGCTTGTTGAAGCGTCGGGCTTTGAAGATGTCGTATATCAAGCAGGTGTATGCTCGTATGACAGTTCTCGTATAGAGAAAGGTGTTCTCTCAGGATCACACTACAATAGGGCATGGATTGTTCATTCTGCGTTTTCGAAGCCCTGGAGAGGCTTTTGTTCCAGAGATTTTTGAAAGAAAATAGTATCGCCATTCCAGATTACTTCTATGATGCATGTATTGATCCAATAGCAAGCTATGCTGTCATTACTGAAAATGCTGCATCGTTGTATTCAGAATTCCAAGCTTTCAAAGAGGAAGCAAGAAATGCTGCGTTGGGGAAAACTGCTCAATTTTGGATACAGTTTTACATGGATCTAATGGAGTGTCAACAAACGGCACACCTAACTGTTCAAGAAAATGATTTTGATCAAAGGTTATTGGCATGGAAATTCTTTCTTCCAATGTATTTTGCTTTGAACAAGCAAAACTACGCTAGATACGCATCGTACTACGTCGGAGTCTTGCAAAATATTGACATTCTCCATCCCGGCCTAAGCGAAATGCTTCACAAATCCGGACTTTCTGTCCAGGCACAAGATCGTCATCCGTTCAGAACCGCAACTGACCAAAGAGGGGAACAAACTATTAACCGCGACGCAAAGACAGCAGGGCCGGGGATAAAAAGTTTTGCTAACGACAGCAATGCCATTCTGAAGTGGACGCTGAATTGTTCAGAGGAAGCCCAAAACAAGGCGAAACTTTTTGAAATGGCGGGCATGAGTCTTTCAAATGAAGTATATAAGTCATTACGACCATCCGAGATCCTAAAGTCGGAGTCCTATACTACAAACGTTTTCAACACGTTAAACAAGGAATATTTAAACCCATTCGATGCGGAACTACATACCAGTTTTCTTTACAACTTGAGCTCGGGTACACAGATTGAAGTGGATATCAGCGAAGAAATTTTGAATAATAGAATAGAAGGAGAAGCGTTGTTTGAAATATTCATCAGTGGTAGAATACTGAAGAAAGAAATACTTTTCCTTGATCCCATAAAGAAGAGGAAGTTAATATTATTCAAGGCATCCTCGAAGAAGGTGTCGTTGACGAGAAGTACTGTCGTGAAAACAGTAGAAGTCAACAGAGACATTTTGGGTACCATTCTTGCTTTGACAGCGAAGACAGAAAAAGTTATCAACTTTGAAAATGCATTAGAATATCCATTTTGTTCTGTCTCGCTTAGCTTGGCATGCCTTGATGGCATACCTAGCTCGGAAAACTACTAAAAGTAAACTCTTGGATGTGCTAAGAAGAAAAAGGAAGATTGCCATTGACTCATCCAAGAGAAAACCAACCATAAAAGGGAAATGTTGCAGCCTTTATCATCGACCTCATGGCAAATATAAGAATGATAACAGGTATTCCTGAAACATACGAGGACTTGACGTGGGTATTTATCAAGACAATACCAACAGGCTACACCAGAATAGACATTGTTGCAGACACCTATCCAGAAAATTCCATTAAGGCGGCTGAGCACTGTAGAAGAGGTAGTTCAAGAGAGATTATAATTCGATCACCCCAATCAAAGATCCCGAGAGATTTTCGTGGTTTCTTACAAAATGGAAAGAACAAGAAGAGGATGATTATGCTAATGAGGGAAGTGTTGATGAAGAACCAACAAAAAACACTTGAAATGTTAAACTGCAAAGAAATTTTCTTCTCCACCCTTGACGATTGTATCAAAATAACGGAAAACTGTAGTTGCAACATAGAAGGCCTTGCAAGCAACCAGGAAGAAGCAGACACGAAAGTCGTTCTGCACTGTAAGAGTGCTCCAGCGAGCTCTTTGAACAAGAGTATCATTCTTCGATCGCCATCAGGTGATACCGATATCACAAGAATTATGATCGAAAAATTTATTGAAGAGAGCGCAAATTGTTTTCTCGATTATGGAAGCGGACAGAATCGAATGGGTCTGTGGCTAAACAGGGTTGATTTAGATAAGCCATTGAAAGAATGCGTTATTGGTTTTCACGCGTTCACAGGAAATGACTTTGTATCGTCTTCCTTTCGAAAAGGAAACGAACTTTGCTGGAAAGTTTTTCACGCTTTTCAAAACCTGGGAGTGAACTGGAATCTCAGCGATGCAATATTTGACCTTCTTGAAGAATTTGTATGCTTCGCGTATGGCGATCGGAGAAAGAGCGTTAATTTTGTCCGTCACCAAATGTTTCAGGCAAAGTACAAAAAACATTCAAAAATGGTTGATCTTTCTTTGTTACCACCGTGTCAGTCTGTGTTGAAACTTCACGGCAGACGAGCAAACTTTGTTGCTAAGATATGGAAGTCGTCAGATGAAGCAAAAGTACAGATTCCAGAAATCTCACGTCATGGATGGAAATCGACCGGTGAAATCAAATAGCTGGTAAGAGAATTTCCCGATGGTGTAGAAGAACTTCTACTTAATCCTGAACTTGATGAACTGGACGACGATGAAATATTTGATAGAGATTTCGAGAGTGAGGAAGAAAGTGACTTTGAGATCTGAATAAACAGTTTTGTTCGTATTTGTTTGTTAATAGTTTACAAGATTACATATATGTCGTAATAACTCATAATGAGATGTACGAAGATGCATGTGTCTAAATACAAACAATTGCAGATATATTACATCACATCACTTCACTATAACCCTCCCTGCGGTTAAACGCACCCGACTTCCCCCGTTTACCATCGCGTTTCGAAACAGCCAGGTCTGTACCTACTTGAAAATACCCATCCCGATTTCTCCGGTTTCAGGTGGTACTAAAGTCCACCACAGCCCGGTCTAATACGGTTTTTTTCTCCAATATGTAGATATTTCGTATTAATTTATCATGTACAGGTAGAGTCCATTGTTGGTCATCATTATTGTCCAATAACTTGTTATGTTACTGTACATATAAAGATATGTAATATCTTGACATAAAATGTTCCTGACATCCATATGGTAGATTGGAAACAAGTACAGTAATTTAATAATACATGGTAGATACGTAATAAATCCATACAATCTTGTAAATCAGCATTCTTGTTTTAATAGAAATACATTTCAGTTTGTTAATCCAGAAGCTCCTATCCATTTTCATGCGATGTATTATATTTTGGCTATAACAACCATTTGGTTTCATCCAGCAGTTAACATGGCAGCATTCACATCTGTCAGATTTGCAAAACCATAGAAAAAATAATTGGTAGTATGAGATATACTAGATATTTACATAGAAACATAGTAGCACATAAATTAATGAAAATACAGCTAGGGCAGGGGGAGGGGTTAAACAAACAAAAACTTACTATTTTTTTATCTGGCAAATCATAATATTCCCATTCATACAGTGTTAACAAGGAGTAAATTGTGGGCTGATTACATGGAACAATTTCAGCTACCTGGGCTGAAAACTCAGCCCGGCTTTAACAATGAATCCCAATAAAATCCCGTGCATAATTACATGGCATGAATGTCAGCCCAGGCTGAAGCTCCTTATGGCTTACACATGCACACGTGATTTAGTGTTTTTATCAAAACTTGTGTATTTCCTGCAAAGCTTGCGATAAATTTTCCCACAACATAAGAAACTCCAGCAGTTCTTTCAGATTTGCCAATATCTATATCCATGCTTTGGGAAGTGTAATTTTGGCTCTTGTGTATTGTTAGAGCCAAAGCAAGTCTTAAGCCTGTTTTCCACTTCAATGGTATCGTACCGAAACGTAGCGTATTTCTTTGTTTCCTGAGCGATAGTGTGAAACTAATGACTTTTACACAAAAGAAAATGCTACGGTACGTTACGATACGATACGGTTGAAGTGGAAAACAGGCTTAAGAGGTAACTGAGATTCCCTAAGAGATATACCTAGTACCACTGAGGTAACCTAAGAGATATACCACTGAGGTAACCTAAGAGATATATCACAACTAAGAAAGTTGTGCATCCATTCCATAAAACAAAACAAAATGTTGTTCGGATAAGGATGAACACTGCCCATTCGTGTGACAAAGTTCAATGTTTTTTTACCGAGAATTAAAGTTCAATGTTTGTCAAGCTTGAGCACTTGACAGGTTTTATATAATTAATCTTAACAGCCAATCACGTTCAACCAGCTCCAAGCTAAGTGGCAGCTGAGCAAATTGAAACCATCAAATGTCATCACAAACACAGAGTAGTCAGTAGATACATACAGAACTGTAACTGGTCGTAGTAAACACTGTGGAAGCTTACGTTTTCATGTACCCACTTTTTTCAGGCGACCGGAAAAAAAGATCAACTGTGCGCGCTCGGCAAGTTCCGCAAGTAGTTAAAGCGGGCTGCAATCCAATATGGGATGCATACATCTAGTAACTTGCCGAGCATGTGCACAAAAAGGTGGATTACAGTAGTTATAACAGAGGTTATAACTCTGTATATGCATCTACTACTCTGTGTCACAAACACTGAACTTTGTCTGTAAAAATCATTGAACTTTGTTGGTATAAAAAACATTGAATTTTGTCATGAGAATAGACAATGTTTTATCTGTGACCATTCATCGACAGTTGCAAGTGACGGTATAACAGTAAAGGCTGTCATTCCACTCAAGTGCTCAAGGTGCAAATGGTTTTCATATTAGGCCTTTGTGTGTTCAAATAAAATAGAAATACTGCGAATCTCGCTAGGAATGAAATTATGTTAATAGTATTTTGCATGAAAACGAACAGCCAGTTTATCAATGAGACATTAGGGCCATTTATACGGGACAAAATAAGACGCGACTTACATAAGACGCGACTTAAATAAGACGCGAGTTTGTCGTATAAAAGGTAAACAATTCTTATGTAAGACGCGTCTTGGATAAGACGCGTCTTACATAAGAACAGGACTTTTAGCTGTTCTTATTTAAGTCGCGTCTTAAATAAGAAATTTTAGACAAAAATTCTAACTACACATGACCGAAACTTGAAACAACGTAAAATTATTAGCCTTGCATATTCGAACAAAAACAACCGAAACAACATTATAGCTATAGCAAGTAAATAAGAATAAATCCGTAGAGAACCATTTATGCGATAACTCAGCTTATATAAGACGCGTCTTATGTAAGACGCGACTTATTTTGTCCTGTATAAATGGCCCTAATGAGTCATTCAATGACTACAATATGATTGTATAAATCATGATCCTTTCTGGACTTGGCCCTGGGGTATATAGAACAAAAGTTATTCCGAATATCAATAAGGAGTGCATATAAAATAACACACAATATATTGAAAGTTTGAAACGTGGTACAAATTGTTTACATCAGGAGTCAGGACCGATCAGCCGATCAGGATCAGGTCATTATTCAGATCAGTATTTTAAAGTATAGAAAAGTTTATACACTCTGGTTAAATTCAACCAGGAACTGGATCAATAAACTACCTAGCACATTCCTGGTTAAATTAACTGATTTCCTGGTTAAAAATTATTGATTCAACAAAAATCTGGCCATACTTCTTTGGACTTTTAACCAGGAAAATGGTTTAATTTTTTTAACCAGGATTGTGTAGGTGTATTTTTAACCCCATCCTGGTTGAATTAACCCAAATTTAACCAGAGTGTTTTTAGAGTGTATGAAAGCTGCAGATCGCTGTGAAACATCACTACCAGAAGCAAATAGAATAGAAAAGTAATTAGTCATACTAACCTGATCGATTTTGTTCCAAAAATCCGTATTTTAGTTTGAAAATTGTGAAATATATCCAAAATGCTTCGAACGCATGTCGTCATTTCAAGTGTCGACATTTTAATTCCCCTCACTTCACAAACCTCTCTTGCGCAATGTCCCCCCGTAATACGACATCTTACCGGACACAGAGCCCAGATGGAGATCGACTATACATAACTCCGCGAAGAAGACTGGGGCGAGTAAAAACGGAAAGCATGTAAAGAATAGGGAGCTGCCTGCGGCAGCAATTATTCAAAGATTATTTGATTACATGATTCCAATGTTTTTAGAGAATACATAATTAATAGTTATAAATTAAATAAACCATCATTGCTGTAGCAACTAAACGTTTATAATTATATAAATATGGCCAAGGTGAAATGTTGTAAACTGCCACAAAAATTATAAATAAAGCTGAGGAAGAAATTTTAGCATGTGTTAATGTGAGTCTGACAAAAGTTTTACAGCTTGCATTGGTTTCTGAGGTGTGTAGCTGTCATACATATTTAATACAGGTCAACAAAATGTATCGAGGTCCTATAATCGAAATCATTGTTTACTATACCGGATGCCTACACCGTCAATTCCCACAAACTATAAGATAATCATAAGTATATGGCAGGATTGGCAGCATCTGTTATAGAGATTATATTGCCATTGCCATTGATTTTCAACCATTCCAAACATTGCCATTGATTATAAACCGCCATGCAGGGCACTATTAAATTTAGCACTTTGCTTCGGAAACAAGTGAGAGCAATTCGCTGCCTCGCTGACTGTGAAATTGGGCGATTGGGTCACACGTCTAAAGACCTAAACACTGTCAAATGCCTTTCAAAACCACAAGTACAGAAACATCAAATACCACCTCTGGAAGGTTGTTGCCATGGTTTTACTGCTGACCTCTATATAATATGTGTACAGGCATAAAATCAACAACTTCACTTGATATCGACAGGAAGGTTGTGTTGCCCACTATGAACAAGTTGTCAACAATGTTGTTGCAAGTTTTGTTGACAACTTGTCCATAGTGGGCAGCACAACCTTGTTCACGCCTGTCAATATCACCCGGGAACAAGTTGTTGGTTTTCTCAATCTTTACGCGTGTGCTGTTGTGCTTTTTATTACAGATTCAGAAACCATCACATTTTTATAAGTAATAGCATGGAATTCAGGTCGATTAGTGATTAAATGTACCCGAAAGCCGAGAGAGGTTTAGTTTACCTTTACTAAACCTCTCGAGGCTTGAGGGACATTTCATCACTAATCGACCGTAATGCCATGCTTTTACTTTGTAATATCATAGTTGCCGAGCGAATCGCGCGTGGTGTGTTGCCTGTTTTGAATGCTGTTTGATTGTCTTATGATTGTGGTACGAACACTTTTCATATATACGCACGCGCAGAAACACATCTCCGTGTTCATTCGTTTTAGGCATGCGCATAAACGGAATTTTCTCCCACAATTGTAATGTTCAAGATTAGGGAATAAAAGCTGGCAAAGTGATTGTTCGAATGTGTATGGGACGGTGTCGTCAGATACTGTCCATAGTTGTGCCGATGATTTTCGATGAGGTACAGCTCTCCAATCAGAGGTAATGAGGTACGATTAGTAACTAATCTTACCTCATTACTAAACATGAGGTACGATTAGTTACTAATCGTACCTGTTTACTCAGCTTGAGGTAAATGCGACGTTAATCGTACCTCGTAAGACAAAAGATTTCGAGGTGACCATGATATTATAAAGATTATCTTGACTCTTGAGTCTATGACTGTATTTTTTTGTATTCTTTTATATTCCATATATCATATAAGATTTAGATGTGGTAGGTAAGAACTGTCCAATTTGTCCAAAGTATAAATCTATTGTGGCAAATTATATATTAGAATCATGTACTGCATTTAACGACACGTTTCTTTCAAACTTTATGCTTTCAGAATAAGTTAAGTTTATATACTCTAGTATATTGCTATTTGATGAAGCCATATTTTAGTATTTATTCAATTTATTTTGAGGAAGGTTTGAAAATTTAAACAGATTTTGCAACTCTGTCTGCATGGATGTATTTCTAGTATGCCGAATATTAATGAGTTCTTTACAACTATCGCTCGTTCTTCGTTTGAAGTCATAACTGATCTCACCTTCACAAATAAAGATCTAACACCTTCAAAAATAAAGCACGAGATTTGGAGCAGATTTGGAGCAGTCTAGTATTCCGGTCGCCTTCGTTTTCATAGGTCAAAACTGTCCTATGTATAAAACTCTTAATCACTTTTTAATCACTATTTTGTAGTTAGATAGTGCTAGTGATTGACTTTAGTCACGTAGATAACTTGGTTGTATAAAAAAGTAGTTAGCGTTTAATAACTGTAGTTAAAACGTATAATCAAAGTTAACGATACTTTAGGGTATCGTTAACTTTTCAAAACTTATTTTTAAAAATGGCGCTTGTATATGAGGGAACAACATTTTTCAGTAAAACAATATTGAAAAGCAATGCTTACCTGGGATTTTCAATCTCTATATTTTCTGTGAATGTTTCCTGACAATATAAACTCTTCAGAGTATATCTATTAAGCGTTGTTTTTATGGCGAAAACGGCAAAATATATTTTGCACGGGAAGATTTCTCGAAGACGACGTAGGGTCAATTACACGAAGAAACATGATATATAATTGCCAAACAGTTACACTTTGGTTTAACGTATACATCTCAAGTAAATACGACCTTCTTCGTTGAGTTTTTCTTGTTTCTCGTTTATTTTTCACTATTTTAATTTCCCGCTCATTTGCACCGTGAAATGCGAGTCCACAATCATGTTAAAAATGCTTGTAAGCGGCCGTTAATCAGTCCTTACTAGCGCTTTATGTAATTTTACTGTTTAACCGCCAACCCACGCAAGTTAACTACGTGATTAGTTAATCAATGATCCAACAAATTACGTTTTGTGCAACGCACTACACTCGATAATTACGTCACAACTACATTGTTTTCAAATAGGGACCACCTTAAATGGAAAGTATTTCAAGTTTTTTTTTCTCATGGGCTATGCACAGAGAAGCAAAACATCTTTCTTCAACACATGCATGAAAAAAGTTTTGGATTTTGGTCAATAAATATGGAAATAAGCATTAACACGAAGCATTAACGAGGCTCAAGGTCATGACCTGGAGCCTCGTTTTCGTGTTAAAGCTTATTTCCATATTTATTGGTCAAAATAAAGAATTATTTTTCACGCATGTGTTGAAGAAGGATGTCCTGCTTCTTTGTGGATAGCCCATGAGAAAAAAAGTTGAAAACAGTGTAGTTGTGACGTAGTTATCGAAAGAGTGTATTAAGTCGTGTGGTTAACTAATCATAGTTAAGGATTTAACTACAGAGATTAACGCTAATCATTTTTTAAGTTAACGACGTTTTTATACAACCACGGCCTCTGCCCACCCACTCTCAATATGATGGTATTCTAGTTCTGGCTAATATACAACTGTTGTAGTACAAACATATTCAATGTAACAGCTCACTGTTAACCTTTCATCACCTTGATTAACTATATAGCTACCGCTCAGACAGTTTTCCCATTGTACGATTGTCGATATATTATTTGCGTTTCAACAGCAGTCTACTAATCAATTAGCCATTCCGAAATTGATGAATGGATGGGGACGAGTGTTAAAAAGTGCCGAAATTAAGAAATGAACCAAATCACTAAAAAGACCACCTCGAAATTAGTAAGTATACAAAGCTTGAAGACGTTTACATGAATACCCTTCGAATAATAAGCTTTCGAAAATCGTGATATCAACTATGAAATCCGACTGTAATTTTTGTTTTTGAGACGCGCGTCCCAAAAACAATCTTTTAATCAGAAATTTCACAATTTTCGAAAGATTATTATTCGAAGGGTATTCATGTGAACGTCTTCAAACTTTGTATACTTACTAATTTTGAGGTGGTCTTTCTAGTGATTTGGTTTATTTCTTAGTTTGGGCACTTTTTAACACTCATCCCCAGTCCTCTCATCAACTTCGGAATGGTTAATAGCTTCAACAGCAATCTACTAATTAAAAAACAAACATTGATTAAACATTCATTTCTTTTGAATTTTCTTCATGAATTATTAATGAGTATTTTAAATGTGGGTTAAGCTTTTTGGACCAGGAACTGGTCCCCAATCGCTGCTAATCTTGTTGTCGTTGTCGTTGTCGTTGTCGTCGTCGTTGTCGTTGTCGTCGTCGTCGTCGTTGTCGTTGTTGTTATTGTTGTTGTTGTTGTTGTTGTTGTTGTTGTTGTTGTTGTTGTTGTTGTTGGGCGACGTTCTTTGAAAAAATCCTAATGCTCCGTCATTACTTGTCCGATCGGAATGAAACTTGACGTTTTGTCTAGCCGTTTTGTCTAGCCGTTATGAACACAATCACAATAGTCTAAAGCTTCTCAAGAATGTGAATGACTAATTATAATGATTAAATATAACGATTAATTACTAGGGGTTACTATCGCAAGGAAATTGCTGCCTCACCCCCAAGGGATCAAAAGGCAGCATGCATAATTTGCTGAATAAGGGGCTGTTTATATGATCCCGCTTTGCCAGGACGAGATATGAGGCGGTGGGATGATTTCGATATATTGAAATAAGTTATGGTGCACAATTCAGCAAAAGACTACATTATTTTCAAGAGATTCAGATAGATTATAGTTAACTGTAAATGAAAGGCTGCCGCACCCCCACCCAGGCTAAATGTCCTTGGGCCCCTCACGTTTTAACAATGGTCGGTAATAAACCACAAAGTTAAATGATATTATTTCAGTTACCTGTGTAGACAAAACAATTAGAGATATTTTATGATATTTCATACTTACTTTTGTATGTATAATTATAATACTGTCTGTGGCAGAGCTCGCTATAGCAACAGCTAGGTCATGCTATGCAAATTTATTATTTGCATGATTCAAATGATGTAGGTTTATTAGCATAGCATTACCAGTTGCCATGGCTAACTTGCCACTGAATACTGTATAATATCATATATAGAAATACTAAGTCAGTTTTTGTCCCAAATATTGTTTTAATTAATGGCACCTTCATGGCTACCCTTGTTGACATTTTTGTTTAATTAATACATCGGCTTCAGATGAAACCATTCATTGTAATGATTAAGATTGTACTCAGTCAGAACTGCAAAACTATATAATAAGAAAAAAATTGTGAGCATTATCGAAAAATATAGTATACCCGCAGAAGTCAGGTGAACATATGAATAGGCCGGTAAAATTATTTCATATTATGCTAACAATGGACATATCTTAGGTTGGTTGGCTACAAGAAAATGGCTTTGAACGATTGAAGAGAGTCTCTGAAGGAAAGACAAACTTTGTAATTCCAAAATTACAAAATGCTGTAGCTTCTAATTCATACATGGGGTGGGGTATTTGAACTCCAATTTTTCACAATACGTGGTGTATTTGAACGGGAAATACAAATGTATGTAGGGAATTTGACATGACCAAAACGTCAAAATCCAAATTCCCGGGGGTATGCCGGGGGGGGGTGTCAAGGTTTCAATTTGATTCTCACATTATTAAAGGGCCCTACAGTCATTTTTTAGTCGAAAAGCCACGTTAAGTATGGGACTCCAAGGAGGTTCGTTTGGCTGTACCTTACATGCAGTATCCATAAGTAAGAGTACTTCCGCACACCGGAAGACGCATGCATGCCGTGGTGCGCATGTCAAGTAGCGACAATAACAAAAAATGTAAACAATACCTAAAGCTGGCGTTTCGACTAAAAAATGACTGTAGGGCCCCTTTAACCAGGCGTAAAAATTGAGAAAATCAACAACTTGTTGCAAGTTGATATCGACAGGTGTGCACAAGGTTGTGCGGCCCCGTATGAACAGCATTGTTAACATGTTGTTACAACATTGTTCAACTGTAACAACTGGGAACAACATGGTTGACAACTTGTTCATAGTTGGCCGCACAACATTGTACATGCCTGTCGATATCAACTTGCAACAACCTGTGTGTTTTTATAGCCGTGTCATTTGCCATTCTCAGCAACAGTGGAATACACTCAATACAGTGTAATGTAGCATGACATTTGAGTATAAAAAATCGTATAAAATGACACTATAGCTGGACTAAAACGTCAATAGTTTTTGCCTCAATGGGCTTTATAGTATCGTTATTTCGTGCATCAAAAGGATTCACACGTGTTGTAGTTGTTTTCGCATGCACTACAGCTGGCACATTACGTGTGTCGATCACATATCTCGTAAGGAAACATGTTCGTACAACATGAAACACTGACAACTTTAGGTAAGTTATCTATACAGACATAAATTCGACACCAGGTTCTAAGACAACAAAGCCATTATCCAGAGCTTGCAAGTACATTTTGTCGAGCATTTTGTCTCCTTGTATTAATATAAAGACATTATTGATTCAATGTTGTTTTTAACAAATCGATCAGTGGTATATTTTGGGCAGATAAAAGTGCCGATATTAACTGATAAAAGCACATTGTTTGCCTCTAGATTGAACACTAAAAAGATCATCGCCTTGATGTATATAAGAAGAAAGAAATAGAGCCATACTTACCTGAATTTTTCCCGATATTTTCGATTTCTTGCATCCGTATTTAAAAGCTTGAAAAAAAGTTGAGGACTTGAGCACATGGAGATGCGTGCGCAATACAAAATTTTGTTTTGACCGCTCCCCTCATTTAACAAACGTCCCTGAAGCTTTTAATTATTCCCCCAGGATTACGACATCTTTACAGACGGACATGCACAAGATCGAGATGTCGACTATACATAGATCGCGCAAAAGACTGGGTCGAGTGGACTCTGGAGCAACCACCACGTGTCAAGAATAGTGTGCTGCCTCGCTACGCTCGGCAGCAATAAGCGTTAAGTTGACTAAACTTAACACGCTCATGCAGGCTATAGTTTCTCAAAGCGCAAAGGAGTAACACTCCCATCTGGCTATAATATAATATTCATAGTCATAGAAAATCGCGAACCGTAAAAACAAAGACATGTCAATTTGTTTTAGCACAAGCATGCAGTTATAAAGCCATGACTAAGCGAGATGAAACTGCATTAACCTGCAGCAACAATTCAGATAATTTGTTACCTTAACTTAAGCCCCGTTTACACGGCACGTATACACGGCTGTAGCTGCACTGTATATTTTGCGATGGCACGCACGCGGCACGGCAAAATTTGATGTGCGGCATGAGTTAAATTTAGGCACGGCGTGTTTATTCTAAATATTATTCAAATGCGAGGAAATACTTTTGAAAACTGCGCATTTAGGCTAGTGACTCTCAAGTATGTTTTGTCCAGATTTACTGACCTCATTTATACACGGCACTAGACACCTTTTGTCCGCGGATAAAGTATACCTTGCATGACCAAATTAAAGCAAACATTTTAGCGAACTTAGTTTACGCTGCCAACTTCGAGAATCATTAGTTTCTGACAAGTGTCTAGTTATTTGTTTATCAAGTCAAAATCTCGAGGGTTTTGAACGTTTAACGATTTGCACAAGATCGAAACTGCATGGGTCACGCAGTTCCTGATCCACTATAGTACGATCGTCGATCGCACTTGTTTAGAATAAATATAGTGTAAACATGTTCTCTTCAATTCAATGTAGGTTTTAATTACTCTTCATCTCATTGAACATTTATAGGTACAGCGTATGGTGATGGAGTTTATTTTACAAATAATTCGTTTTATGCTCTTCGCTATTGCGTTGATAAGCTGGGAATAAGAGCACGGAGTGTTCGTGGTAGACGTACAGCACTATCATTAAGGTCCTTCCAAATGTATGTTGTCAAAGTCCTAGTTGGAAATTTCACCAAAGGCGAAGAGAAGATGAGAGTACCTCCTTCAAAGGATGATCCAAAGAATACAAGCCTACTGTTTGATTCAGTTGTTGATGATACGGCTAGTCCAAAGATTTTTGTCATCTTTCAAGATCACCAATCCTATCCCGAATATTTAATAACTTTTGAACATGTTAGTTATTAATGTAGAACACTATATACCAACAGTAAACTCTTTAACAATAGCATTTTATAATTAAATTAGAATATAGCATGCACTGGCAAAATTGTACGTCTCCTAATATACTGTATACGTATATCTCATTTTACAATATTGTTAAATCATGCATGGTCTCATATGCCAGACAGAAATAGAACATGTATCAAACATAATCCTATAGGGATAAGGTGAACAGAGGCTGCCGTGACGGTAAAGCGGGAGCTAAATCCCTCCCTTAGCTTTAAAAAACTAGGAAAAGGGATTCCGAACAAACTAATTACCTTTATTATATATTAAGGTAGCTATCTATTTGTCGGCAAAAGGAAGACTTACCATTTAAACTACAGGCTAATTTTTTGGGCAACTGTTACCTGTCGAAAAGCAAATCAGTACTAATTAGAAATTACCATCGCATATACATGAAGAACATGAAATTGACCATTTCGTTTCAACGTGTGCTTTTTTAAGTTCTTTGTGTGTTTGCATGGCGATAAAATATAATAGTTTTGTTTGTGGAAACACCACGTAAATTTATTACTGCAAAGCTTTCGATCCGTAAGCCCGGATCTTCATAACTTCATAACTTCATTTCGATCCGTAAGCCCAGATCTTCATTACTGATCGAAAGCTTTGCAGCGTGCTTTTTTCTTTAATGATTATTTATCAAGTTGCAGGCATTGCTTTATAATCCATGTGTAAGTTTGTTTGCCTGTTAGTTTGTTAGCATGTCAACGAGCTGTTTTCCGCATGCTTCAGGCCCGGGCACCGCACTGTAGTATACTATGCCTGAATTTTATATGTATTGCCAGTGTAAACTTTTAAAAATTTAATAAAACGTAATTATTATGCGATTAACATTTTCTACACTGTTTCTTAAAGGCGACATCATGGCATTTTTTAAACTATATAACTGGGAGCGAAAGAGCCCCTTCCCCCAGCTTCCATGGTGCCCCTCTCCAGTCAACCATTTTGTCCCCCCCCCCCAGTCAATGTCCCTTTTCTCTAAAATATAAGCAAAAATTGAATTTGGAAGAAAGGTTTGATATTGTAGTACTGTACCTTGCTTTGTGAATCTTATGACATGTCTTTTATATTCAAATCAATGTCTGTTTTAGCAATGCTAACTGGCATTGTGTTGTAAGTACTAAAAAATTCTCAGTGGATAGTACATCCCAGCTATAGACTTGAGTTGTTAGAAGGTTAGGTTAAACAAGTACGTTAGTGACCGATCGTTGTTGTATTTGCATAAACAATCCATGCCAAGGCATATTTTAAAGATTTACAAGTGTGGGGGGGGGGGGCATAACTTGGAAAAGAGAGCGCCGTAGGGGCGTTGTGGGTCCCATGTTTTGGGGGGTTGGGGGGGGGCAAGGGTAGTATAAAAAACTACATACAAAGACTTACTATATACATTCACATTTCATAACTTCACAAGGGCCCGAAGGGGGGGAATGGCCCCCAGTATATATGTTAAAATATGCCTTGATCCATGCCAGTACTTAACTGAAGATTCTGTCTACCTACAGCATAATGTAATGCTGTATATCGAACAAAAACATGAAATACGAACATTTCCTGTAGGAGAATGCCTCCAGACCCCATTACTGTTGCACACGACACCACACCGAACTTTGTGTAATCAACAACACATCTGCCATCTCTCCACACTCACTATAGCATGGTCGTTTCTCAAAAAAGGCTCTGGGCTACATAATTAGTTTCACAGTATCCGAAATTCAACGTTTACTTAATTTAAAACAGCAAACAGTGTATTGTTATAAACAAAGCATTCTATATTTTTGTCGTCAGACAGCATATACTGATTCTTAAATTATTCACGTGTATTGCATGTTACTTGCATGGTATAGGAATTAAGTCAGGGACCGATTGAGTAAAGCCGTAGTTAAAGTTAACTACAGTTACCACACGACTTAGTAACTAGTGTGTTGCACAAAACGTATTTAGTCGGATACAACTAATCACATACTATTAGTTAACTGTACGTGGGGCATGCGTGGGTCGTTTAAACACAAAATTACATTATACAAATAATGAATGTTTATGAGTGCAATGGTAAGAATATTTTCATGAGGTGAAAGATGGAATGTTCCATTCAACGAGGCGACAGCCGAGTTGAATGGAACATTCAATCTTTCACCGAATGAAAATATTCTTACCATTGCACGAAGAAACATTCATTATTTGTTTTATAAAATACCAAAACAAACTAATAGATTCGTATAAGAAACATTTTGAGGGATGCGATTTATCGAAAACACAAAGAGTGCAATTGTACTATACGTTTTATTCCATTGCACTCTCCGCGAGTGCAATGGAACGTGTTCCATTCCACTCTTGGGAAATGGAATTTTCTATTCAATATCACGTGACCATAAACAGCCAATTAAACGATTAGAATTTAATAAGGTATTATATAAAAAGTAATGAGTGATTAAAGGCACAGTTCAGCCTTTGAATGATGGTTTTTAAGGCGCATTTCAGCCCTTTTAATTGAAAAAAACTAACTAGGAAAATCAATTAAGCATAATTCAAGATCAGTGAACTCGATGTTTTTAAGATTTTAAAATATTTATTGTTAAAAACATTGAGTTTATTGATCTTAGCATAGAGTGAGATGGTGGATCTCATGTGGGGTGTGTTCACTTATATATACAATGACGTCACGCGGGCAAGATCAGGCGAAATCGGGCAAAACTTGCTGACTAGACATTTTTAGCGTCCCTCCTACGTGTGTGATACAATACAGGGATTAGGATTGGCTTGCAACGCATAGCAATGCGTTTCTGCTAGATACAGAAACATCTTGAGATATGTCCGTATTTTTTTATACATATTTTAAACAGAACTAAACAGTTGCTAATCCCAGGTTAACATGGTTGTCAACGTCGTTGTTATGGTCAGTATTTGCATGTCGTTCAACATTATTTAGCAAACCTCCTACATACATATATACTGTTAAGATGACCGAGTCAGATCATAAGAAAGCTTATCAAGAATACTTGAAGGAAAAAATTTTAGAACAGTGGTAATATATTTTGCCATAAAAATAAATATGTTTTTATCAAATATGCATGTGGTCGTTATATACGTTGCTATGTGTTGCCAGTCATTAGCGACGCTTCCATGGGTGCATGCATATATTAAAGTACAACATATTTGTACAATAATCAGGCGGGCGGGTTACCATATTTACTCGTTTAAGCGCCGCGGCGCTCTTTAAATTTTCAGAGCTTCAGATGCGGCGCTCATTCGGAAGCGGCGCTCTTCAAAAAAATTTGATCTCAAATGCGGCGCTCATTCGGGAGCGGCGCTCAATCGGGGGCGGCGCTCAAACGAGTAAATACGGTAGGCAAATCGCGCGGGTGGGAAAGTGCGTGCTTTGCAGGCAAATGTTTGCACAAGATTTCAGTTTCAAAATACATTTATTTCTTCAAAACGTTTTACAAAATTTAGTAAGGTCTACTTCTAAGAACATAACGTTTTGGTGTTTTTGTTATTTTTAAAGAGTTTTCGTACTCTTGTCTGTCTTCAGGTGATAATCTTGCAACATCTTCATGCTTCATTGGAATATATTTCTGTCTTTCGTTTAGTAAAAAACGTTCATAACGCTCTCTTTCTTTCGGTTTCATCATAGCCAAGTCACTTTCTTTCCAATCAGCAGAATCTACCCAATAGTGAAAAAAGTTGCGCTTGAGTTTTGGTCGTTCACCTTCGGTTGGTGGTGGCGTAAGAAAATTAGGTTTAGGCGTAGCAGGCACTGGTGATGGTATTTCCGCTGGTACAGGAGTAGGAGGCACTTGCGGTGGTATCTCAGCAGATACAGGGGTAGGACACACTAGTGAAGTTCTCTGAACAGGAACTAGTTCGTGATAGTGAGCCGGGACATCCATCTTATTTTTGAATATGAGAAATCGATTTAGTTGATCAGAGTATAATTTGCTTTTTTTCCACCACAGAAAGCTGTGGTCGCTGTTCAGCGTCATACATTGCATTTACAAGTGGTGGTTGTCGATATGTTTTTGTATAAACTTTGCAATCTCACCGGGAAGTATATTCGTCTTAAGTCGTTGTTGATCTCTCTTGTTGGCTTTAAATCCAACATCAAATACCCATGAGGTCGGTTCATGGCATCTTCGTAACTCCTCATAAACTCTTGCACTCTCCCGGGATTTACTTGTCTGGAAAGCACAGAAATTTGTTGTTTATCTCTTGGTGACTTGAACAACACGATATAATGAGTATTAAGGCTAATATTTCTCATTTCTTTGCCCGGATGAAATATATTTTGGACAGTATAGATGATAGACAAATTTCGATGATGGCTTCCTTTGGTAAAAAGATCAGCAATACGTTTATCTTTGCCGGATTGAGACATAAGGGCGCCCAGTATGATTAAATTCCAAAGGTGGCTAGTAGCGAAGTAGTTGTAGTTCGCTACTGTAGCGAACTACAATTTTGAAGTAGCCAGTAGTTTTTGACTACTTTTTCAAAACAGTAGCTGTAGTTATAGCGAACTACATTTTGCCTAAAAATAGCCAAGTAGTTGACTACTTTTCAAACAGCGAATCGCTATATAAATAAATGCAAAATAAATGTAAAACCTAGACAATTGAGAACACTACAGCATTGTCCTGAACACTTACAAATGGAGAATCAATCGTTTCCAGTACCTAAATCACTGTTTATTAACATATGTAATCTTAAGAAAACGAAAAATCGAGTACAAGCTTCAGTGGCGTTAGAAGCGGATTTATGCGCTTCAGATATTGACAGTTCTATTCCGGATCCAACTACGACATCAACCCAAATGCTGCAAAAACCAATCTCCGTGATTGCTTCACAATATCGTAAACATAAAACGTCTTACAAAGGGGCAAATTTAGCAAATTGCATTAAAATTAAACCTGATAGTGTTCAAAAAAACTCCTCAAAATTCCTTCAAGCTGGTTGTAGTCGGGAATTTGTTCCTAATCTTTTACTAACTAATGTGATGTCACTGGTCCCCAAAATGGACGAATTAGAACATGTTACAAAGCAAAACAATGCAGATCTAGTTTTTATTAGTGAACCGTGGCTGAAAAGTTCCGTACCCGATGAAGTAATTGAAATCAATGGCTATAGAGTCTTTCGACGAGACAGAATAGGAAAGGAACATGGCGGGGTATGTATATATATAAAAGCTTCCTATGTAGCGAATGTTATCCCCGATATACCAAATGAAAATGAATGTGAAGTGCTGTGGGTCAAAATCAACCCATGTAGGTTACCAAGAGGCTTTTCAACACTCGTCGCAGCAGTTTTATACCACCCACCCACTGCAAATAAGTCAGATATGCTAGAATACTTACAGTCATCATTAGAGTTATTGGAAACCAGATATCCTAACTGCGGCTTAATCCTGGCAGGAGATTTTAATAAACTACCTATAAGACATATCAGCCATCAATTTCAACTCAGGCAGATTGTAAATTTTAATACTAGAGGAACAAGTAAATTAGACTTAATTTTGACAAATTTGTCCAACTTCTATGAAGAGCCTTTAAGTACTCCTCCACTTGGTTTATCGGACCACCTTACTGTTGTTGCCTTTTCTAAAGAAAAAAATCGTGGTAACCAGTCTAAAGAAACTATTATTAACGTGCGGGACAAGAGGCCTAGCAGCATCCGCCGTCTAGGAAGATTTTTATGCGAAGTGCCATGGGACATAGTGGCTAATCCAAACCAGTCTTGTGACCAAAACCTGAATAACTTTACTGACGTTATAAAGTATGGACTTAATACCCTAATGCCACTGAAGACTGTGAAGGTTCATCAAAATGATCAACCTTGGATGAACAGCAACCTGAAACGTTTGATTAAAAAAAGACAAAAGGCTCTTGCGCAGAACAAACATGCTTTATATAAACAGTTAAGGAATAAAGTAAATCGATCTAGGAAAAACTGCCGTAAATTATATTATGAAGCTAAGGTGAAAGAACTCAAACACACTAAACCTAAAGATTGGTGGAAGGAGGTGAAACGTCTCTGTGGTCATCAACAAAAGTCGACGAGTAATATCTTTGCAAACCTGCAACAAGATACACAAGACCTCGATTCACTTAGTAACTTGATAAATGACTGTTTCTTGGAACCTATGTGCGACTACCAGCCACTATCTGATAGTACCATTACCATGACCGATAATAATAGTATAATTTGTCTGACTGAAAAAGAAGTTTTTAAATCGTTAAATGGTGTTAAGCTGGGAAAATCCAGTGGCCCAGATTGCCTGCCCAACTGGGTCTTAAAGAAGTTTGCAGTTAATCTAGCAATGCCAATCTCAATCATTATAAACACATCATTTAAGGAAAATCGAGTGCCTGCCTGCTGGAAAATGGCTAACATCTGCCCAATCCCAAAAGTTAAACAAGTGATAGATGTTAATAAAGATCTTAGACCTATATCTCTTACCTCAACACTCAGTAAAATCGCTGAAGATGCCGTAATAAAATACGATCTAAAACCGGCAATAATGGATCGCCTGGATTGTAACCAATATGGCTTCATACCAGGTTCTAATACCACCCTGGCTTTAATTACTTTAATCCACCGTTGGTCAAAGACAGTAGACAAAGAGGGAGGATGTGTGCGCTCACTGGTCACGGACTATCGGAAAGCTTTTGATCTTATAGATCATAATACTCTTTATAAAAAACTTCAGGGAATAGGTCTAAAAACATCAACCTTAAACTGGATTTCAGACTTTTTGAGGGGAAGACTACAAAGGGTAAAACTTTCCCCGAACTGTTTTTCCAATTGGAAACCTGTCAATGCTGGAGTCCCTCAAGGAACTAAACTCGGCCCATGGCTCTTTTTGCTGATGATCAATGACCTTGTAGTTTCTAACGATCAATTTGATGGGGATATGATGAAATATGCGGACGATACTAATATTTCAGAATACGAATTTTTTTCTGTGCTGGTGTTGTGTACTCAGTGTGGATATGCACTCAGAGTAACATCACAAACATATTTCATATTTCCGGTGTGGATATGCACTCAGAGTAACATCACAAACATATTTCAGAATACATCACCAATCAGGCAGAAAACAGTTCTCTGCAAGAAGTAACTAATTCTATTGTTGACTGGTCTGAAAGAAATAAATTCCAGCTTAATCCATCAAAATGTAAAGAATTTGTTGTGTCTTTTAAACGGAATGAACCAAATTTCCCCCCCATCAGTATTAATCAATCACAAATCGAACGAGCTGACAAAATATCGATTCTTGGTTTAACAATCACAAAGGACTTGAAATGGAACGATCACGTGGAAAAAATAATCAATAAGGCATCCCAGCGAATTTACCTGTTGAAACAGCTCAGAAGGTTTGGACTTGATGCTGGTGATCTCAAGTGCTTCTATGTCGCTTCAAGAAGGTCAATACTGGAATATTCATGCCAAGTTTTTCATTGTGGCTTGCCACAATACCTATCTGATGTTATTGAAAGGATTCAAAAGAGAGCACTGCGTATAATTTACCCTCAACTGTCCTACCAGGATGCTCTAGACATGTTAGAATTAAAGACTTTATCTACACGCAGGGGTGATTTATGTAAGAAACTTTTTAACTCGATTCTGGACAATGAGGACCATAAGCTTCACAACTTACTGCCACCTAAGGTGACATCCGATACATATAATTTTAGGAACGAAAAACTTTTTAATATTCCAAAATATCGTACTAATAGATATAGAGATACTTTTAGAATATCTAGTCTAATAAACTCGTAAAAATTGGTATTTTATAATACAGAACTAATAGTTAAGAGATACTTTTTATAATATTAAATTAGGAATTTTTGTAATTGTTTTAAACACTTTGTATAAGAATCATGTAATTCAGCTCTATGCATGGCTGCTAGGTGATTTTAATAAACAGATTATCTATCTATCTATCTATCTATCTATCTATCCTCGTATAAAGCCCCGTTTACACGACCAATTTTTATGTGACAATTTTTCATATTTTTATGTGAGAAATGTATTTAATTGGTCGTGTAGATGAGACAACAATTAAATAATTGTTGATGCACTTGATTCCTGTTTAAAAAATATCTATGAACAGCGCAACAAAACATGGCGCGGACACTAATTATACTTTTACAAATATGGCGGGAGAAAAAATATGACATTTTATGTGACAAGTAATCTACACGGGCATGTGCTAAAACCTGGACTGGACTATGGACTGGACTGGACTGTGGACTGGACTGGATTTTGGACCGGATTTTGGACTGGATTTTGGACTGGATTTTGGACTGGATTTTGGACTGGATTTTGGACTGGATTTTGGACTGGATTTTGGACTGGATTTTGGACTGGATTATGGACTGGACTATGGACTGGACGCATTTGTGCTAAAACCTGAGATTTTTATTTAGCTACAGCCGTTTCAACGAATTCAATCTCCGGCTATGACTTTGTCACTATACTATATACTATATACATGTACTATATACTATATGACCTTAATACTTACTGAAATTTTATTGACAGTTCATTAAATAGAAATTATTTAACAAATATAAAACATTTTCCGTGTTGATATACAGTTATATCAACACGAGTGGAATTGGGAAAACGAGAAATTGTATGGAAACACGACGCCCGAAGGGCGAAGTGTTTTCATACAATTTCGAGTTTTCCCAACTTCCACGAGTGTTGATATAACTATATATCAATACGGAAAAAATGTTTTATATTTTTTTTATAATATAGCAATGTCAAAAGCCCGAAGGATAAGAAAAATTTCCGTGTTTACAAGCGGCGGAAAATTTCCCGTGTTGACATTGAGTTATATCAACACGGCTCTTAGCCAATCAGCGTTCAGAATTTACAAATGCTATATTATAAACAAATTTACAACATTTTAATCAATGTTACAATTCTTGACGTTTTCAATAATTAGCGTGCGTAAATAACCGGACCGACATTTTGTACTTGTAGAGAATGTTCTTCTCAAGCTACGACATCTAGATCTATCTCTCACAATCCACAAAGCGTACCGAGAAGTATTGAAAAAGGTTAGTAAAATAGTTTTAAAACTTGATATTTAAGAGCTCGAAATCTCAAATAATATTTTGCAATTCTAGATTCCCCTTAGGCCACATAAAAAAAATTACTTGTTTAGCGTCCACCCATTTTAATTTTCCTAGGTCGGGCGGGCGGATTTTTTTTTTTTTTTTTCGTAAAATGCAACACAAAATTCTGCTAAATGCAGGAAATCCAGTATATTACCACAGTCAAAACTCACTTTAATTCTTTCAAAATCCGTTCATGTTTTTTAATACCGTTCATGTTTTTAATAAAACAGAAATGATTACCGTTTGGCGGTCACGCGCGAACACTTTAGCTGCGAGGAAGGAGTAAACGTATTACATAGCTCCCAGAAGAATAAAATCACCATTTTTTCAAGTAAAACGGTCTTTTTTATTTAGTTTTTGCACTAAACTCGGACGGATTTAAAAAAAAAATAAAAAAAATGGAGGTCGGGGACTTTTATCAGGTCGGGCGGGGACGCTAAACAAGTAATTTTTTTTTATGTGGCCTTATTACGTTTTCGTAGCGCTTTCCATTGTGGTTATAGTGGTATCACTGATAAAGATAGCGGCCTCGAATGAAAATATTGAATGTTTTCGCGAATATTTTGCTGTTGGCTATCGCGCACCCGACCCTAGCTTTTTAAAAAGTTATTGCACGGGTCAGGACAAAAAATAAGCCATTGAATATCTGTGATACCACTATAACCACAATGGAAAGCACTACGAAAACGTAATAAGGGGAATCTAGAATTGCAAAATATTATTTGAAATTTCGAGCTCTTAAATATCAAGTTTTAAAACTATTTTACTAACCTTTTTCAGTACTTCTTGGTACGCTTTGTAGATTGTGAGAGATAGATCTAGATGTCGTAGCTTGAGAAGAACATTCTCTACAAGTACAAAATGTCGGTCCGGTTATTTACGCACGCTAATTATTGAAAACGTCGAGAATTGTAACATTGATTAAAATGTTGTAAATTTGTATAATTTCTATTTAATGAACTGTCAATAAAATTTCAGTAAGTAAGGTCATATAGTATATAGTATATAGTATATAGTATAGTGTCTTTAGTGACAAAGTCATAGCCGGAGACTGAATTCGTTGAAACGGCTGTAGCTAAATAAAAATCCCAGGTTTTAGCACAAATGCG